ATCATTTTTAAATCTATGTGTGTGTCGTCGTTAAAATTAAGACTGATAAACGTCAAATTGAATTCCACACTCTCTGAGGGATCGACTTGGATTCTTTAGGTCCACTTTTACTACTTGTTCTCGACCTGTGCACTTGCGGCTTAGAATCAAGCGAACAATCCTCAGTAATAGTTGCAGCAAAAAAATTGTCAATGGATTTTGAAACTTTTTGTTGTACTAAAATCGATTTCATCTTTTGTTGCAAATTAGAAAAACTACGTTTACCATTAAAGTTACACAAGTCAAAATGGTGCGCAGAAATTTTAACAAATAAGACACGTAGGACGTAAACAAGTTTCAAAGAGACAACCACACAGAGAATGTCCTATAGATCACAATTATACAACGATCTAAATTCCCAGATTATCTTGAGATTTGAACCCCAGTCTCAAGCGAATTTTTGAGCGAGTAAAGTTAAAAGAAAAAATTCTAATCACAAAGAGCTCATCAACAATATGAGAATCAAATAACGATCAATATAACCACAAAAACTATAATATCACAATTTAGGCAAATAGTCCTAAAATACTAGCATCAAGCAAGGCAGCAATCCTATTAGTCACCTCACTCAATTACCTGATATTGTAGTAATTTAAAGAGTTTCAACCAATTTACCAGAGCGAGTGTATCTGTGGTCTATAACAACGAGATATGCGAATTTAATTAAGGATTCAAGTGCTTATTGCAAAATCAGCAAACCAATGCATCAATTACACAGAATACACATGTATAGACACATTAATTCCAATTTTCAGCCACAAAAGATAAAAAAATCACTAAACAATCGAGCTACTGGAGGCTCTGATATTAGTTTGTGAAGAAAACATAACATTTAATTGATCAAACAAACACAAAGTGAGTTCCAAATCAATGATAATAACAGAATTAATACTGTCAATTAAAGATAAACACTTCATTTTCAATTATCACAAAGATTGGAGCAAATATGGATTGAATAGGGCTCAGATCAATAACCCAATAACACACAAAGCAGCTCCATACGAAGGAATCAAGAATCCCACTTAAAACTACAGCGAAAACTGCCCACAAATCACATAGAAAGGTAGCCGCTAAAGAAGCAATCGAGCATCAACAAAATCGGGAAAAAACCAGCAGAACGGGGGCAAGTTCAGTAGCCCAAGAGTCGATAGAGATGAGGTGAAGGTCGTACAAAAGGGACTACACTAAGGAGATAGCAAGATCACATAGAAGAATAAGCCGAAAGCTTTACCAAAAAGGGGGCTATTGGTCGTGTGTATGTATGATAATAGTGGAAATTAGACGCACCCCTATATTTGGAGATTCAAATTCTAAAATCAGATTTTGTGTT